AGGGCCATTTGTTAGGATTTGTTTGTTTTCTAAATAAATCCCAAATTAAATCTCGACCCTTTTACAAACCATTTACCAAACCCCTCGATTGTTCCAAACGGTCACCTATGACCAAAAGAGTTACTACTCACTTGCCAGCTCCAAAGGGCCTCGTTGAAAATGACCTTTCAGTTCTCCAGGTTTGGTCTATAGTCTTCTGGTTCCAACAGGTCGACCTTGTATTTCTGGGTCCCTAAGGGGCCACTGAGAGGTTTCTATTGAAATCATGATTTTAGTTTGTGAATCAAGTGTACATGTTTCGCTAAACTTTGTATCGTTAATGATATGCAGGAAAACTTCTTGTTTGTTTTTGGGAGCATTGAAATCATGTGACATCCGAATCTTCAACCAATATGGGCATGAGGTCACTAGGTGAGTTCAATTTTTTGTCCTTAAGCTCTACATGGATGGGGTTGAACCCCTCCATGGAACCGAACCGCGATCTGGACACTTTCGGACAGCTCGCTGGACGCATGGGCTTCCACCTACGTCTCAGATGTGTGCTATGTTTTTCCCTTGTGTTTTTTTTCTTTTATTTTCTTTTTTAAATATATATATATATGTAGGGAATCTATCAGCGTAGGATTTGCTTTCCAGCCTCAACCATGTATCACTATTGGAACTAGGTTTATATATATATATATATTCAAGGGACTTGAGCAAATGGAAGCCTTGGTAGGCCAGGGTGAGGCACCTGAGTGTTTGGTGCCAGGCCATCCGCCTCTCACTGGCACCTGCCGCTTCTGCTCGGGAGGCGAGCTTCTCGATTTGATGCGGTGAGTCGCTTCGATTGCAGGTCCCCCAGACTAACAGCCGGAAGCTCCCAGGACCCCTTTGGAAGACTTAGTTCCATTTAAAAAGGCCTTCTGGGAGCCTCCGGCTGTTAGTCTGAGGGAGTGTTGCTCCTTTGGTTTGGCTTCCTGTCAAAGGCTCTGATGCCAAAGTGACACGATGGACATTGACGTAAAACTTCTTGCTGGAGCCGTTCGCTTCTGGTTTTCCAGGGCTCCTTAAAAGATACATTTTGCCCATTTGAAACATGGCTCCACCAAAATAAAGGGAAACCACCATTTACAAGTTGCAATGTTCAGGTGTATAATGTAAGGATCCCTGTTTCCGTGTCCATGAGGCAAAGGAGCGATTGGAGCAGCGCACCAAGGACCGCCGGGCATGGCCGGTTTTTGCATCCACTTGGTGCATCACTCCCCAAAAAGGCACACCTACTGTGACTTGCATGACTGCACAGCGGACTTGCGTGATCGCAAATGGCCGCACGGATCAACAACAGTTTGACTTTCCATGACTGCCTCAAAACGGTCTTGCGACGCTGATTCAGCAACGGAGGACCTTTTTGAAGAGTACCGTGCTCAAGGTATGGCAGCGGCCTCAGTTTTTTTCATGGAGCTGGACCAACGGACTGCAGATCTGGGCAGAGACTGGCACTCACCTGGAATCAACGGGTTCGGTTGCACCCAGTTGAAGGTTTCTCAAAATGGACCGTTGGCATCTTCAGTTGGAAGCCAAAAGGAAGCCTTTGTTTAGATTTCAGGAACCCCACCATTTTCAGCGTCCCTCCAATTGGTGGTTTGGAGCCTGGTGGTTCGGAGGTGAAGACTTGGTCTCGAGCCAGCGGTGTAAACCCCTAAACCACCGGACTCTCTTTCCACCAACTGATGGTACCTGCTATTTTCATGAGCAACGGCGTCTTCTCTCAGGCTCCTCACGAGGCAGCTTCCAGGGCTGCCAGCGAGGCGCCAGACGAAACGGGCGTTCTTTCAAAGTTTTCCGCGTTTCGCTGCGGGGAGAGGGAAGGGCGTCCCTTCAGGTGACTGGATTTGAAGCCCCCCTGGGTTCTTGAGCCAAAACGCAACGGAGCTGAAGGCTTCGGGGCCCAATCCAAAGGCTTCGCTTTTGCCATGTCCCGAGTTTCGGGGCTGGGGACACGAAGTTTCCAGGAGACTTACGCGTTTGCCAAGTTGCAGGCGAATTTCACCGCCCAGAAGTAAAACCCCGGCAGTTGAGCCAGCCTTAAACGGGAACGCATACTGCCCTTGTGATACCGCCCACCCCCCCTCCCCCTGGCGGGGGGGTGGGGGGGGGACTCCTGCAGACGCTTTTGGGACCTGGTTTTGCATGATCCGCTCGGCGCATCGCTCTATGCTCAGTTTGCAATCATGGAGATGTCCAGTTTTACATATGGTCACAGCTTGAAACTCCATCAGTCACATTCACATCAACAGAAGCCGCGCGGCCAGGGTCAAGCACAGAATTTTGCATGGGTCATCGCAGCATGCGGGTTTCTAGACAGGAGAGCAGTTTCGATGTGAAATCCCTTGATTCATATTCCAGGAGGATAATTTCCTTGTTGCTGGTGCAACTAGAATCGCTGTTTGTGTGGATTTTCTTGGCAACAGAGTGGTTCTGCTTTTTTCAAGTGCCAGGGACGCTGTGCCTGCTTTCTGCCAGCATTAGAACATTTAGTTAAAAGTCTTCCACTTGTCGAGAATGTGCGACTGCCAAAACTACCTGGATAGCTAAGTTGCTACCTTTTGCTCAAAATTGAGCCAAAAAGTGACACCTCGTTGGAATAACGCAACCATCGATCCAATGGAGTTGGACGGCGACCCCTGGAACTCCACATATTGGACCCCACCTTCCCATCAAGGCCTGACTGTTCGCCAGGCTCGAAGACTCGAAAGGGCATAGGCGCTGAGGCGCTGAGGCGCTGAGATGCAAGTGCCAGGTGTCAGCAGTCAGGGGTCAGTAGTTTCACTTTTTCTGGGGCTTATCAAGTCAGAGACGGGTTTGTGTTTTCCTTGAACCTACCACACATGGGATGGCTAAGATAACGTGGCCGGCGAGTTCGGTGCGGACAGTGAAAAAACAAAAGTTCAGATGGCGTCAAGCTGTAAGGCATTGCGATGCATCGCAGCACCTTGGTCCTAGAAGCAGCTTTTTAGATTAGCCGCTCAGTGTGGTTTTGCACGTCGCGTAGATGCCCGCCGAGTTTGGTTGCGTACGTTGCTGCGCGCCGAGGTGGGTGTGTCTCATAGACCCCAACATTGCGCGATGTCTGACCACCCAAAAGAAAGTACCAACACAAGAGACACCCAGAGAGCACGGTTGTTCCCACATGAGTATGCAGCAGCGCAGCGGGGCCGTGGCACGGGCATGGTAAAGCCATTCTTCCCATGCCACTCTGCGATTTTAAGCCGCAAGCCACAAAGAAATCAGTGTTTTGTCCATAACTTAAACCAAAGATCTGCAGTTGAGCTAAATAACAGTTTCCCTTCCTCCAACTAACATGGCACCTGTGCGGAGATACCTGGAAGATTCATTCCTTTTGAAGGGAGCCCCTGTCAGTTGCCACGTTAGTCGGAGGGAGGGTACTCAGTGCAGTCTGCATTGTGGCCCTTGGCCGCTTGCTCTCCGAGAGAGCCCCATATTGCATGCCGCTCTCGAAGCAAAGCCGGGGTTGTTCTCACATAGCGCGTGAGGCGACGCAAAAAGTCAATCGAACAGAGAATTGCGTCTTCGTTCAGAACGGTCGGACTTATACGCATATATAAAGATGAATATGTATATATATATATATATAGGTGTGTGTGTGTGTGCGTGTGTGTCGATTGATTTTACACCGTGAGGGCTTGGATTTTAATATGTACCTGAATGGAGGGTCTATTGAACCTCCATCCTTCAATTCGTACAGATGGCTTCCGATCCTAGGAAAACAAACAAAAGGGATCTGTTGGATTTAGACCAGTGAGATCCTCATGACGGGTGTAACAAGCTTGGAATGAAAATAGAATCACTGAAACATAAGTATGGTGTTTTCCGATGTTAGACAGCAACTTACAGAAATAGTAATTGAATTGAGAGGCAAGCCAGAGTAAGCATCGTGAGTTGTTCCAGAGTAACATGTGATGTGCATAGCATATTTTTCAACTTCATTCAGCTTCGAAATGAAGCAGAAAGGTATTCAAGAAGTTTTGATCGATGTATATGGCTGCGGGTCAAAACCAATGGTACCATTTTGGGGTAGGTTCACCACCCATGTTGGTCTATTTGAGTGGGAGGTTCACTCAAGGAAAGGGGTTTTGACCCATGGCCATATAGAAACTGAGAGATTTCTGAAGATATGGCACGAGTATTTCTTGTGGTCGGTGACTGGCCCTGGCTCCGGCAGGACCGGGCGGGGCTTGTGGCTTCGGTTCGGTGCGGTAAGGCCATCATGACTTCAGCACAACAGTCAGCACAATGGTCAGCATCATATATTGTAAAATGATGGGCAAGGTGAACAAGCATAGTGTCAAGGCGCACCTTTTGTTCTTAAAGCTGGGACAGCTTCCATGAAAGCAATAATAATAAGAGCCTTGTCATGTTCACGGCCAACTCGATCATAAGCAATAGCAGGCTTGAAGAAATGCTGCTGAATACTTCAGCAGGTCGTTCCTGCTAGTGACTGCTTGCGCCCGTGTTACCATCTCTGGGCCAATGGCATCGCTTGCCCAAAGAGCCCAACGTTTCACCCTTTTTCGGCTCTCCATTGTGTTTTCGTTTTGTTTTTCTCCTGTTGTTTTTTCTTTTTTCCGCATGTACTTGAGTCGAGCTCTGTGGGATGGAGGAGGAGGAGAGAAATCCTTCAAGCGGAAAGAAAGAGAAAGATAAATGCAGGCGGGCAGGCACACATGCAGACAGGCAGACAGGCAGGACACACAGAGACAGAGAAACTGAAAAGGAACGAACATAGGTTTTGTGCATGCGCAAATGCATTGCTTGACTTTAACCAGGTTTCAGCTGGAGACTCTCAGGATTTGCGCGGGTGAGCTTGCGGGGTCCGTTGTAGACAACCCTCAGAGGCGACAAATCATGCCCCCGCAAAAGCGATACTGGATTCCCTCTTTGAGTTATGCCTCCCAAATCAAGATCGAGATCGCAGCCTGTCTGAGTTGTTTCCAATTGGAGAATCTCGGCTCAGGATCCGGGTGCTATCGTCACTTTCCAGGATTTACCGCAATAGCGTGCCAGCATGCTGTCTCGCTACTTCCTCGTTTCCTCGGTCTTGCTGCTGGTAACTGCAGCGGACACCGAGACGTGTGAGACCTGCAACTAAGTTGAAATTGGGTGCCGAAATTCTGGTAGCGCAGAGGGACGCACTCGTAAGGTCGTGCCCAGTTGCACATGAGGGATACGCCGGAATAATTAGGGCCGATTCGGGGATTTCGTCCGATGTCTTGTTTAGGAGTTGGACATGGCACAAAATACGGCTGTTCCAGCCTTCCTCAGCCTGAACAAGCATGCACGTGGATGGAGATTTGGCCATCTCGAACATATCAGGCCAAATCGTGAGGTCATTTTGGGTCATTATTTTCGTCTGGGGGTTATCAAAGTCAGAGCTGGAAGTGGGTTGGTCACCCGACTTTTTCCTGGAAAGCGCTTTTTGTTGGTTCAGTGTTTTACTTTCATTCGTGCTCAACTGTGGGTCCAGTTCCACCCAAAGACCGTTCTGTGGCGCTCCATGTTCGAGAGAGAGTTCCTGGGCTTCGGCTTGCGCGAATGTTGTCTGGCAGCATATGAGGTTTGGCCAGAATTAGCATATGAGGGGACCCCAAATTTTGCCACAAAAGAAACTGGTGACACACCCCAATTCACCCATGTCCTTTAGGGGAAACAAGTCATTTTGAGTGTGGCTCACATGTGTGGTGCGGTCAAAGCACTCTTTGGGGTTTGTATGGATGGTGACTGTGATGTTACAACGTCTAAAGGCAGCCATGACCATGACCACATATTTGCGTATGTCCGGAGTTGCTCTTAGGTTCGACGCTCTCTCTCTCTCTCTTTCTAAAGACATGGAGCTGCTTCCAATGTTTTTCTGCATATGGCGCGATGTGCACTTCCATGTGTTCTGCCTATTTTATGGCGAGCTCACCGATCCAGGGGTAAAACGTGCGAAAGCCGTGAGAAAGGTCATTTACTTGGGGATCCCTGAAATCAGCTTTTGGAATCATAGTAAATTTTGCAGATGTGATACATGGATGCTTCATTTGATGCTATTTTGAAGAACAGATATTGTGTGAAGATTCCATTCTGTAATCAGCCCCCTTTGCGAGGTGTTCTACCGAAGGTGATCCCTTTGTCAACCACCTTTGCTGACAAAGGTGGCCAAGCTTTCCTGTTGAGTTGGCAAACTTCACACTTGTTGTCGTTCCTCACTCATTGTCTGAGCACAAGCCCAACCTTTTTATGCCCATTCTGGCCAGCTCGCTGAGCGCTAAAAGCACGCTGTGGCCACCTATCTCGTGCTCCGGGCGCATAGAAACCGGTAGATGAGCCACGTGGCGTGCTCTCTCGAGCCGAAAGAAAGTCCTCCAGGAAATATGGGTACCAGTCAGGCCGCCTTTTGCCGGGCGAGTGAGCGCCTGGCTCGTCGCTGTCCGGCCGAGGTGATGGGGAGGTTTCGAGGCAGGGTGGGCCAACTTCCATTGAATATGTTGATTTTCCTCTGTTGGTGTTACAAGGAATTTGTCACTACTGGAAAGATTTGTCACTACTGGCCGCGAAACCCGGACCGCGCAGGAGCAAAAGCCTGCTCTCTCTGAAGGCTGAGGTGGCACAGAAGCCCAGCTGTGAGTGGCGCTCCGCGTTTTGTCGGGGGAAGGAGCTGGACAAACCGAGCTCGCTCTCTTGTTGCTCCTCTGGTTTCCTCTTTTTTGATGGTCAGACCAACAAATTTGGTTGTACCACCATGTCTTTCCCCCTTTTTTCCGGAAGGGTTGTGGAAGGAGGTTGACAAAATGAATGGTGCCATGTCTTTCCCCCTTTTTTGCGGAAGGACGGCCAAAATCGGCCAACAAACGAAGTTTGCGCCACATCCACTCCCCAGGAAGTCGGTGCAGACGGCGGAGATGGCCGACCTCGCCGCAGAGCTGCTGGGCGACGGCGGGCGCATGGACCTCTTCGGCGAAGCGGGCAACGCATCGAAGCAGATCTTGCAGCCAGCGCCAGTTTTTTTGTTTTGTGTTTGATGCGTGGGTATGGGTCAAAATGAAACCACCAGGGGACCCTAGCTTCTAGTCCATGTTTCCATTTACCAGGGTTCTATATTTGGTACTTATTTTGGACCCACGCCCGTGTTTGTTGGCGGATGGACTCTTTGGGGTTTCTCTTGGTTGGTTGTTGTTGTTTGGTTGTTGTTGTTGTTGTTGTTTGTGGGCGGGGGGTGCCTTTGGACGTGAGAATGCAGGTGTTGACCTTAGGTTGCACTTTTCAACATGTCAGGTTAAGCTTTTCCAGCAGTCCACAACCCCGATAATTTACTTCCATGTGTGGTGTAAAAAAAAGAGGGACGGAAGTGTCAGGCAGCAAAATGGGGATCACGTTTTGCCACAGTGGTCCCCGAGTAGTGCCCTTTTACCTTTTGTTCGGGAGGGTTCCCCTACTAAAATAGACTACAGAACAAAGGGTACCCGTATTCTAACCTCTCTACTGGAGTACCTAGACAGTTTAACAAGTAAAAGTTGTTCGTTTCGTTGGTCTACTCGCGACTGGGTCTTGTCTGAGGTTTTCAGTCACACCAAAACCCAGGAGAAAACCTCTTTGTCAAAGGAAGTTTAACAAGAAACTTCCGTAGTACTGGAACTAAATGAGCTAGCTGCTTTGACATATAGCTATGACAGGTAGCTAGCATGACAAATAGATAGCTTTGACATATAGCTAGCTTGACAGATAGATAGCTTTCCAATAGGCTTGCATGACAAATAGATAGCTTTGACATGACAAATAGATAGCTTTGACATATAGCTAGCTTGACAGATAGATAGCTTTCCAATAGGCTTGCATGACAGATAGATAGCTTTGACATATAGCCAGCTTAACACGTAGATAGCTTTCTCAAGTATAGATTTCGTGGCAGGCGCAGCACTTTCGCAAGCACTCTCTGCGAGCTGGGGGATGGCAAGATGCAGAAAACGTGGGCGCTGTGCGTGAATTGGGCTTCCGGACTGTGCGCAAACCACCTCGGCTGCGACGCCTGTACGGCGGCGGTCTCGGAACGGTCTCGGAACGGTCTCGGAACGGGTTCGGAGACGGGCCCATTGGCACGGCCGCGCGAAGGTTTCGCAAGGATTGAATTGCGTGGCAGGCGCAGCACTTTCGCAAGGTCAAGTATAGATTTCGTGGCAGGCGCAGCACTTTCGCAAGGTCAAGTATCGATTTCGTGGCAGGCGCAGCACTTTCGCAAGGCCAATTGCCAAATTCGTGGCAGGCGCAGCACTTTCGCAAGGTCAAGTACAAAATTCGTGGCAGGCGCATCACTTTCGCAAGGTCAAGTACAGAATTCGTGGCAGGTGCAGCACTTTCGCAAGGTCAAGTGCAAAATTCGTGGCACGCGCAGCACTTTCGCAAGGTCAAGTACAGATTTTGTGGCAGGCGCAGCACTTTCGCGAGCTGGGGGATGGCAAGATGCAGAAAACGTTGGCGCTGTGCGTGAATTAGGCTTCCGGACAATGCGCAAACCACCTCGGCTGCGACGCCTGTACGGAGGCGGTCTCGGAACGGTCTCGGAACGGTCTCGGAAAGGGTTCGGAACGGGTTCGGAACGGGTTCGGAGACGGGCCCATTGGCACGGCCGCGCGAAGGTTTCGCAAGGTTTGAATTGCGTGGCAGGCGCAGCACTTTCGCAAGGTCAAGTATAGATTTCGTGGCAGGCGCAGCACTTTCGCAAGGTCAAGTATCGATTTCGTGGCAGGCGCAGCACTTTCGCAAGGTCAAGTGCCAAATTCGTGGCAGGCGCAGCACTTTCGCAAGGTCAAGTACACAATTCGTGGCAGGCGCAGCACTTTCGCAAGGTCAAGTACAGAATTTGTGGCAGGTGCAGCACTTTCGCAAGGTCAAGTGCAAAATTCGTGGCACGCGCAGCACTTTCGCAAGGTCAAGTACAGATTTTGTGGCAGGCGCAGCACTTTCGCAAGCACTCTCTGCGAGCTGGGGGATGGCAAGATGCAGAAAACGTTGGCGCTGTGCGTGAATTGGGCTTCCGGACAGTGCGCAAACCACCTCGGCTGCGACGCCTGTACGGCGGCGGTCTCGGACCGGGTTCGGAACGGGTGCGGAACGGTCTCGGAGACGGGACCATTGGCACGGCCGCGCGAAGGTTTCGCAAGGTTTGAATTGCGTGGCAGGCGCAGCACTTTCGAAAGGTCAAGTGTAGATTTCGTGACAGGCGCAGCACTTTCGCAAGGTCAAGTATAGATTTCGTGGCAGGCGAGTTACGTTCGCGAAGGTCAGGTCAAGTACAGATTTTGTGGCAGGCGCAGCACTTTCGCGAGCTGGGGGATGGCAAGATGCAGAAAACGTTGGCGCTGTGCGTGAATTAGGCTTCCGGACAATGCACAAACCACCTCGGCTGCGACGCCTGTACGGAGGCGGTCTCGGAACGGTCTCGGAACGGTCTCCGGAACCGGGTTCGGAGGACGCCCATTGGGCCATCGGCCCGGTGCGCGAATTTCGCAAGGGTTTGAATTGCGTGGCACGCGCATGCAGCACTTTCGCACAGGTCAAGTATAGATATTCGTGGCAGCGCAGCACTTTCGGCAGGCGGTCTCGGAACGGTCTCGGAACGTATAGACGGGCCCATTGGCACGGCCGCGCGAAGGTTTCGCAAGGTTTGAATTGCGTGGCAGGCGCAGCAGCACCGCAAGGCAAGGTCAAGTATCGATTTCGTGGCAGGCGCAGCACTTTCGCAAGGTCAAGTGCCAAATTCGTGGCAGGCGCAGCACTTTCGCAAGGTCAAGTACAAAATTCGTGGCAGGCGCATCACTTTCGCAAGGTCAAGTACAGAATTTGTGGCAGGTGCAGCACTTTCGCAAGGTCAAGTGCAAAATTCGTGGCACGCGCAGCACTTTCGCAAGGTCAAGTACAGATTTTGTGGCAGGCGCAGCACTTTAGCAAGGTCAAGCACAGATTTGGTGGCAGGCGCAGCATTTTTGCAAGGTCAACTTTCGCAGCCGGGGCTCGAAAATCGCAACTTTTAAGTACGAAAGTAGTACGCGAAGTCAACTTTCGCAGCTGGGGCTTGAAAATCGCAACTTTTAAGTACGAAAGTAGTGCGCAAAGTCCACTTTCGCAGCCGGGGCTTGAAAATCGCAACTTTTAAGTACGAAAGTAGTACGCAAAGTCCACTTTCGCAGCTGGGGCTCGAAAATCGCAACTTTTAACTACGAAAGTAGTACGTGAAGTCCAGTTTCGCAGCTGGGGCTCGAAAATCGCAACTTTTAAGTACGAAAGTAGTACGCGAAGTCAACTTTCGGGGATTGAACATCGCAACTTTTAAGTGCAGAGAAAGATGGGTAGATAGATAGATCAATAAACAGATATAGAGATAGCTAGAGAAATAGATAGAAAGAGATAGAGAAACAGAGATAGACAGAGATAGATAGATTTGTAGATAGATAGACAAATAACTAGCTAGATAGATAAAGAGATAGAGAGATAAATAAATAGAGAGGTAGATAGATAGATAGGAGATAGAGAGGTAGATAGAGAGATTGATAGATAGGTAGATCTATAGATAATATAGGGTATAAATTAAGTCCAGCGGGCAAGACCGCGCGCAGCGAGCGTGCCGTTTCGGGCTGCACGCAAGAGCGCGAAGCTGAGCGGGCATGCTGTGTCGGGCCGCGAGCAGCGGGCGTGCCATTTCGGGCCGCGCGGTAGGAGGAGATACACAAGAGTTCCCGTCCGGCGGGGGGGGGGGGCCTGCCGGAGAAAAAGTATCGTGCTGCGGGCGTGCCGTTTCGGGCCGCGCGCGAGAGCGCGGAGCCGAGCTAGCGAGCCGTTTCGGGCCGCGCGGTAGGAGGGCGCGCCATGTCCGGCCGCGCACGAGGATAAGAAAAAAAAGCTCCCGTGCGGCGGGGGTAAAATTGCTGGGCACACACTTAAGTAGGCGGAGCGCGTAGGGCCAGCCGGGGAAAAACTACCGCGCTGCGAGCGTGCCGTTTCGGGCCGCGGGCAGCGGGCGTGCCGTTTCGGACCGCGCGGTAGGATAAGACAAACAAAAAAGTTCCCGATCGGCGGGGAAAAAACTGCGGGGCATAAAGTTCAGTGGGCAGAGTGCGTAGGGTCGGCCGGAGAAAAACTATCATGCTGCGGGCGTGCCGTCTTGGGCCGCGCGCTAGGATAAGCAAAGCAAAAGTTCCCGTCCGGCTGGGATAAAAAATGCTGGGCATAAACTCGGGTGGGCAGAGCGCCTGGGGCCTGCCGGGGAAAAGCTATCGCGCTGCGAGCGTGCCGTGTCGGGCCGCGCGCCAGAGCGCGAAGCCGAGCCAGCGTGCCGTTTCGGGCCGCGGGCAGCGGGCGTGCCGCTTCGGGCCGCGCGCTAGGATAAGCAAGACAAAATCTCCCGATGTGCGGGCAAAAAATATAATTGCGTGGTATAAAGCTAAGTGGGCAGAGTGCGTAGAGTCAGCCGGAGAAAAGCTGTCGTGCCGCGGGCGTGCCGTCTTGGGCCGCGCGCTAGGATAAGAACAGCAAAAGCTCCCGTCCGGCGGGGACAAAGCTGAGGGGCGTAAGCTCAAGTAGGCGGAGGGCATGGGGCCAGCCGGAGAAAAAAGATCACGCTGCGAGCGTGCTGTTTCGAGCCGCGCGCCAGAGCGCGAAGCCGACCTAGCGTGCCGCTTCGGGCCGCGGGCAGCGGGCGTGCCGCTTCGGGCCGCGCGCTAGGATGGGAAAAGCAAAAGTTCCCGATCGGCGGGGAAAAAAACTACGTGGTATAAAGCTAAGTGGGCAGAGTGCGTAGAGTCAGCCGGAGAAAAACTGTCGTGCCGCGGGCGTGCCGTCTCGGGCCGCGCGCTGGGATAAGAGAAGCAAAAGCTCCTGATCGACGGGGAAAAAACTGCGGGGGTGCTTAGCGATTTGGAACTATTGGAGCTATATATCAGCGAAGACATTGGCTAACAGAACCAAACTCGAGCCTAGCAAGTT